GACCCGATCGCCTGGGAAAAGACAGACAGTCGACTTGTCCCGCTTATGTGCTTCGCTTTTTTCCTTTTTTTTTTTTTTTTTTTTTTTTTTTTTTTTTAATTCCCCCCTCTGCACGCACCTCAGCTTTCCTTTATCTATCTACCTAAACATAGCTTAAGCTTAGCTTGCGTGAGTCTACGACTGCCCCGTCAATCAGGCTATCTGCTTGGACCCTTGAGGCTCTGGTTAAGTTTACTTAGTGTACTGTACTGTACCTCCCCCAGCAAATGGTTTGGAGTACGGTGATCCAGTACTTGGGGACAGAGATGGTAGGCTAATCTGATTTAGCTCCATCGAGAAGACCATCAATCGACCTTGCAGCAGATCTGATTCTGTCTCTAAAAAATCTTATCGCCCTGTGAGACACCTCAGGATCCGTCCACGATGGGATAACCCCATCGTCAGGGGATGAACCCGTCTGCTATCTCGAAACTGATCTCTCATTCTTGGGCGGCCCGATAACTGGACGTGTGTGTCCTCACCGCAACTTGTGACGCCCCCTTGGAACTCGTCCTTTACGGCCAACCCCTCCTCCCCCCGGTAAGGCTTGATGATGCAAAAGTTCCAATAGGACTTTCGATCTGTGGTAAATGCCCCCTTGGGCTGATCTCCTCCCAGTCTGGGCTATTCTTGGACCGGGAAGCGGCCTCACCCCATGGTGAGGCGACAAAAGTACTGCAAGGATAGACAGTCGGTATCCGCCACAGGCAGGCGGATCCCACTATGTCTTTCAATAGCAAGATACAGTACATTCTGCAGCCCCAAAGTACTGTAACTCGATCCAGGAATCGACCTTGACATCCGCCCTCGATGGGGCCATGCTTCCAGAATATGAGACAAGGCTCGATTTTTGCTAGGCTCCGTGAACTCATTGGCACCGGATGACGGGAAGATGGTGCATAGCGCCACACTTTGTGCCACCAGCCGTCAGTCCATTGTTGCATTTCCTGTGCTCCGTGTGAATCATTGGCCTGCTAGTCCCCGGTTCCCGGGACGGTACTGCTGCTGATCATGGATCCCTTGTAACCCACCCTGGAAGCTAATATAACCCTTTCCCCAGAAGTTTGGGGCGAACATTCGACCGCCCGTGGTCACAGGACGGCTCAGTTTTCGAAACAGGATTAGAAGTATCCGTACTAGTTGTCGCAAGCAATCAATATCTACTATCAGTATCCACCGACGTCAGATTGAGCATTCCGTTCAGGATTTCCCTGAGCATCTGGGAAGTGTCGCTGTCCATGGCATTGCGTAAGAGAGAGAGAGAGAGAGAGAGGGAAGGATTGTGAAGAGCAAACTCTGCCGCGATCTAGAGCGGACGGCCACCGATCATGGCTTTCGAAAACCGACTTGGCCATGTCTAAGATTGAGCTAACCGATGTAGGGAGTAGAATAATCAGAGCAACCAAATTGCCGGAGAACTGGGGCAACATGCCGCATGCAAAGCTGTTTCCGATGGCTTCAGTCACGATGGTAATTCGACGCCCCCAGGCTTTGGAATTTCGGGATTGACGGTGGCTCCAAGTGGACACTATGCAGTTCGAACCGCGTTTGTGGGCATGATCGCACATTATCAGGCTAATGTTCCTCCGCCCTTTCTTAGAGGCTTCTGTGGGCCTTCAGTACCATCTGGGAAATGTTCTAGAGAGCAGCAGCGTCCTTCGGCGATCCGTCGCCGCCGACGAATGGACACATTAACGTGGCTGAGTGGAGACAACCTTGATGGAGCCCCGGGCATTGGACCGCATTCCCGATGGAAACGAACGTCACAGGGGGGCTTGCAAGAGCGGATCGGCCTGGCCCACCGTTGCGCCTCGGTCCAATTTGTTTGGTACCCTAAATCCTACGATGACTACCGTTCTGTATTGAATGCAAGCACTCGAAGTTGGTGAAGATCAGGAGTTCATGTACTACCATCGTTCGCACCGCTCCTAAAGGGCGTCGGAGAGCTGGGAATGTCTCAATTCTCGGTTTCTTGGGCCCATTGAAATTGATGCTGGCGGCGACGATATAACCGTTGATCGTGCCAATCGCCCTAAGATCTGTCCCATATAGGTCGAACCCGGTAGCGCCAACTTGGAACTCATTGATTGATTTGGTCAAGTCTCGAGATCGATCAGAAATCCTCTAGAACAAGTGCCACACGACAGGGATTCCAGAATAAGAGCACGCAAATCTCAAATCCTAGCTCAACGTCGTACGGGCTATTATGTCGGTGGCCTATGGACAAAGCAGATAATTGCTTCCACCAACCAACGGAGACCCCTGACGCTGCAGAATTCCAGGATTATTGGGAAAGAAATGACTTCCAGACGCAGTACGCCCCCAGGGTATTGTAGGACAAATCATCCGCAGGCCTGGAAGCCGGAAGATTACCAGGCTGCTGTCCAGTGATGCAAGGACTAAAGCACGATAGCCAGAGCTACCAAAAGCTGCGGCGGCGTCGCATCGCGCATCCACCTACTGCACAGGATAGATTCCGCGGGCCTAGTGTCGTTCTGTGACCTTTCGAAAACAACAAGAAAGGAAGAAAAAAAATGCAGACACCAAAGTTAGCGATATTGACCCAACGTGCCTGCTGCAGGGTTCCACTTTCTTGTTCTTTTACAAATTTTCTGATTTCTTATCGATCGTTCAGACACGCCGGAATGGAGCGGTGAAACCATAGCAAGAAAGAGAGAAAACTGGGTCAATTCAAATTGACTTGGGGAGGGGGCTTCTAGTGGGAGCCAGTCTCTCGGATCCAGCCGGGAAACAGGTCAAAGACAGCGCTCATCCACTTTGGCGGTCGATCATCAATGTCCGAGATAATCTCAGTTGTCCGATGCGGGCAGGACGGATGCTTGCTGGGGAAAAGGAATGAATGAGTCCACTCCCATCTCCTCCATTGGGTCCTTGACCGCTTCTCCTTACCAGCAGCTTCTTGCGTCCGCCTACCTGCCTGCCTCTGTTCTCGGTCGCGCTTCCGAGCGGGCTGCTTGCTGCTCCCTCCCTTCCCATTGGACTCCCTCGACCTGTCTGTATGCTTTCCTCTCCTCTCACCCTTTTGGTTCAATTCGGTTTTCCTCCTGCAATCTGACTGGCTCGCGATCGTGCCGCCGGCCCCCCTTCACCCCCTACAATCGGCTGCCGTTTTTACCTGTAGAGACCCGTTCGGCATTGATTCCTGTACCCCTGTCGTCATGGCTTTCTAGAGGGTGGTCCCTATTTTCCTGTCCGCCATAGGGACAATCTGGCGTGTCTCTCAGCGCAGACTTTCCGCTCCGGAGATGAAAGGGATAGCATTCAGTCGACCTATCTGGGAAATCGCCAAGCGCTCCCGGCAGATGCAAGATCATTAGCGCCACCGTGATCATAGTATTAGTGGGTTGCGCTTAGAAGGTTGTGCAGTGTCTATTCTCTATCGCAATGGCGAGACGGTGGAGTGGAAGTCCAGTTTGACATCTATATATTGCTGCTCGTCCACCTTGAATCGAACTTTCTTTTCTTCTCATTCATGATTCAGACTCTATTTCTATCTTCTACTTTCAGTTCTTACTCTGCCCTCATCTCCTCGGATAGGATACTTTAGCCAACATCTTTAACCTCAAGCTATTCACAAGTACACCTCTCCCCCACAAATCAAATTCCAGGGATAGCATCACCAAGACGCAACCAAGACGTAACAATGCCATCCACAGCACCAATCCTGCGGCCCAAGAAGGCCCAAGCCGTCAATGCTCATGAGGAAGAGGAGCCGATCAGCTACGACATCAACATTCCTTACGTCGACGTCACCAAAGAAGTGCATTCCCGTACCAGATACCCCGAGTACCTCCCTACATGGGACAAGGTGTGGTTCGATCCACTTCCTCCATTTGAGTACCAGGACCCTGCGCTGCGCGTGACAGACAAGAGCAAGCCCAACCTCCTCAGCGGCGCAACCAAAGTGACTGAGATCCAGCCGCGCATCGGCAGCATTTTGGAAGGCGTCCAGCTTAACCAGCTGTCCGATGCTGCAAAGGATGAATTGGCTCTTCTGGTCGCAGAGCGCAAGGTGGTCGCTTTCCCGAACCAGGATCTGATCGATGCCGGCCCGGAAGAACAAGAAGCTTTCATGCGACACTTTGGCAAGCCCAACTATCAGCCTGTCTCCGGCTCCGTGCGCGGCCACCCTGGGTTTCACATCATCCACCGTGATGGGAACCGCGAAGAGATTTCTCGCTTCTTGGAGCAGAGGACGACCACCACACTTTGGCACCAAGATGTCAGCTACGAGATCCAACCCCCGGGCTATGTCATGCTAGGACTGCTGGAAGGTCCCGAAGTCGGCGGCGACACCGTCTTTTCGGCAACTGATATGGCATACAAGTAAGCAGTTGCCCTCATTGCCCTAGACTACCACCCACGAAAAGCTAACATACGGATGGCACAGGCGTCTTTCCCCCACTTTCACCTCATGGCTGGATACGCTGCGCGCGGTCCACTCCTCCGCCAAGATGATCAACCACGCCCGCTTGACTGGCAGCTTGGTGCGCAAAGACGCCGTCGACACCGTCCACCCGCTTGTGCGCGTCCACCCAGTCACAGGCGAGAAATGCCTTTTTGTCAACGGAGAGTTCATCACGAAGATCCAAGGCCTGAAGGAGCCCGAGCAGAAGTGGTTGCTCGATTTCCTCATGCAACACATCATCACCGGCCACGACTTCCAGGCCCGAGTCCGGTGGCAGCCTAGGACCATTGTCATCTTCGACAACCGCTGCACCACCCGTACGTCTTCTCTCCTGACTCAAGCCTACAAGCAACACTAACCGTTTCCCTGCCAGACTCTGCCATTGTCGACTACCTCGACGACGATAACGGTGCCAAGCTCCGCCACATCTTCCGCATGTGTGCCTTGGGCGAAAAGCCCATCCCGGTGTATGACCAATTCGAGTAGATCCTTTCTCGAACCCTCCGCTCACAGCTCCCGCTTGCCTATTCTGCAACAGCTGGCAGTCTCTGAAGTGACCGATCACATCACGGTCAGGGATCACCCACCCTCAGGCAATGATTGCTAGGGGGTTTTCCACCAACCAACCTTCTCCGTCTTGCGTTTTAATCCGCCCCGGCGCACCGCACTGTCCATGTCTGACTCCCATTTCTAATTATTATACCCTGTCTTTTGGGTTTCATTTCCAAGAGTTCCTCTTATCTATTCACTTCTAATTTCTGATTCAATCTCTGGTTTGATCTTCCCAAAATTGATACCTCTGCTCATTCCCTTCTTTATTGTTGTTTATGTGAATTTGATAGACCGCCTAATCATTGTGTTATTTCCTGCTGATCTAGACTAGCGGGGCTTGTGGGGTAACAGTTCGTTCTGTTTTGACTTGCGGGGCATCTGTGTCCTAAGAAGACTCCACCGCCTTTTTTGCTTTTATGTTGCTCCTGTTTTTTTGAAAAAATTGCTTCATGGTGCATCTTCTCCGTGGCTTTGAAAACTGCATATTTGGGGTGGGTTGGTTAGTTACTAATTCAAATATTAATATGTGTTACTTTTGAAGCTGGTTCGGTTGACATAATCGTAGACCTGGATGTCCTAGAAAACACAATCAGGGTATCCTCGTTTCGCAGGCGTCCATATGAAAACAAAAGAAAGTGTGTTCGATACAAATACAGTCCTGCAGTCAGCTTATAAGGGTAATAGTCTATTAGTCGTGCCCCGATCGACACACTCCCGGTTCACGAAGATTGGATTTACGAATCAGTTGAACGCTTGACATAGTCCTGTACGTACAGTCTGGGCTTGCCACCTCAGTTCGACTCTTATCTTCTTCAACTTGTAGTTGTCGTAGTGGGAGATGCGCCATGGAAGTTGAAGGGCTCGGTAGGACGTCACGGTATAGCTTCAATCCTTACAGGTTCATGATGATAAGTGCTATTGAAACTTCTAAGCCTCCATTAAAAACATATTCAGATTATCTCCAGTGAATGGCGTCAATTGCTTTGCGGTATGTCTGGCCTTTTTGTTCTATATCAGAGGACCAAGTAGTAGTACTATACGACAAGAAGTAGCCCGAGCACTGCCGGGAGGGAGAAGAGCTACTAGCTCCCACCGTATCAGGAATTTTTGCTGCTGGTTTCTGATCTTCTGACCCAGTTGCAGCCCGTAGCATTCGACTGAATATTCCTGTAAGGTCAGAGCTACAATAGCCCTGACCTTCGTGACAGTGAAGCTATAGTAGTCAACCTAAAAAATCTCTTTGAGGCAGTGGGAGGGTGTACAGTAGTTACAGTAGAAGGAAATTAGTATGCACTCCCCCCGGACTGGAGGAGCTCGTCACTTCTAATCAAGTCTAGCTAATGGCTATTCTGCCAGCTTCTTCCCATATATTTAGGGCGGTGTGTGGGCACTGCGGGAAGGCGGTATCTCTCGAACCAAGCATCCGGGGAGGGGTCTCTCTCTCTTGTGATGGTCCCTGCGGAGATAGCGGCTTTTGGTGGTCTGTTGCCCTTTTCTCTCTTTGTTCAACGAATGGCCAAGTAAGCCAAGGCTCTATATTCGAGTCAAATTACTTATTGCGACAGGGTCTTAATTGGTCTTACTGCAAATTCAGAAGGCGCTATTACATTTGTGATGCCACTATAAATCTGGCCGGCAATACATAAACTTTAACATACTTCCACATCACCTGATCTTGAATCCATAGCAACTTCCTTGACAAGGCCTCCCACCAACCTTCTTTTAAGTCAACTTCTAGATCTTGGCTGCCATGAGCGAAAGGCTTCGAGATTCATGCTCATTATTCAAATACCAAACGCAGACACAAATGACTCCCTCTGATCGGCCCCTAGCCCATGAGGTGAATCCAAGTGATAGCGAAAACGAACCCCACAGGCGCTCAGCTTCGGTCTCCGATGGTCTACTTCCACCACACTTATACCAAGTCTGTAGATGATCCTCCGTCTTCCAGCCATCTTGCTATGCAGCTAACTTGACATATACAATACAAACAGATCGTCGCCGACAGCACTGCTCTTCAGCCAAGTAAACGACAAGTAGACACCGCGCTAGAGCAGAGCAGGGCATACTGGTATCATGCTGCGACGGCGGCTCGCTTCTATCACAATAATGGCATCAAACCAGAATCTGCGAATCCTCACCACATGCTTTGGAAAGTTCCCAGAATGCGGGGACGACCAAAAACCACTTATGCGCTGTATATGGGCGCTTCTCCCTGTCAATCGCTTTGCCTTCAAGCTTCTACCACTTGGCGGCTAGATGATGCGACTAAATGTGAACGTGTTCAAGAAGAGATAACCAACACCGTGCTTCTGCAAATCGGGACCAAGGCTGCAGTCCCTTACACGCTCAGCGGCACGGTATTCGGCCGCTGGATTGGTACGGAAGATGAAGTGGCAGTTGGGCCAAACTACCTGGCAATACTCACCTTGGGGTGGTGCTATGTACTCTCCGCTCGCTTGGTTGAACTTCAAGGGACAGGTGCTTCCATGAGCTATACGGCTGGGAAAGCAGCAGTCTGTGGTCAACCGAGCCCTGAGACAACGGTACAACCTATAGATATTGGTGAAACTGATGATGATACAATGTTGTGGTGGTCATCAGTGCTGGCTCCGGGCGAAGGTTGGATGGCTGTTGTCAAACAGCGTGATGATGGGGACTTTCTCGCACCCTGGTCGGTCAGAAACACGTCAAATCAATCCCTCTCGATAAGACAAAAGGGTAGGGGGTCTTTCGATGCTTCTTCTGAGCCTCTGTCATCCAGGAGAGCATTTGAAGCTCTCGTCCAGTTTGCACTTTTACATAATCTGGGAAGCCAGTTTCTTGTTGCTTTGGCGACGGCCATGACGGTACCCTGCCACAATTTTCATGGCTCAACTATTCGACTACCCAAGCCAGCACTTAGCAAGGGTAGGTGTCCAGCAGTTCCAGCAAAGGCAATTCTTCCTGAATGGGCCCTGTTGCGTGAGAACCTTGAATATTACATGACACTAAGCTGTCATCCCGAAGTCATCATGTCTTGCCTTTGTGGAATGTTTTGGGAGCCAGGTGTGCCATGTAACCTTGTGAGTCCATGGCTTCATCCTATCCTGATCGAAGTTTCACAAACGGACAACGCCACATCAGACTCGGCAGGCCTTGACGCCGAATTGCTCGCTATTATTGGAAGCATGCGCCGGCCCACGATTTCTGCTCTTTGGCTCGGGGCTGCAGCTGGCGGGCTTACGCCGATGATCCTTAAAAGGGTCAAACGAGGGAGACCCCCTCTAGAGTCGATTGCCTACCCTTGGACTGGGTGTCCGCAAAGCTTCATGGACGACGCTGGCACCGGGCCGTATCTACAAGGCCAATCCAAGGAGCAACAGATATGGAGAGCTGATGTCTGGCGACTTCTTCACCTACCTTTCACCGATGAAGATGATCTGTCATACAGATACCGGCCAGGCACCCCGTGGGAACCTTGTGGGAAGATGAATGCGCGCGATTGTGCGCTTCGCGTGGCATCGCACTGGGATTGTCCACGACATCGATTAATTTATCATCATTGGAACTGGGAGCTGGAAAAGACACCACAACTACAGGATCCTGGATTTTCGAGCGCGATGGCCCCCGTGATTACTAGGATGGACGTGGATGATCTCCCTATCAGAAGAGTAGAGCAGTATCCCCATAGAATACAGGACGAAGACGCGTCTCAACAAGCATCCTTGGAGATTTTCCGTTGGTTTATCTTCAACGGTGAAGGCTTTCCTCCGGGGGACTTCTACAAGAACGAATGGCTGGACGCTTTGCAGGACGACGAGGATAGTGAAGAGGAATCTCAAGGGAATGACAGCAATATGGATTCCCATAGCCCAACAGAGGAGGGCCCCGATGGGTTGCAACGATGGTTAGATACGATTTAAACAATTCGCCTTTCTTTGGCTCAAGCGGCTCCGAGTAACTCTTCTCGCCGTTTTTGAATCGACCCATGATGCTCGCCCCCAGGTGATTCACTTCTCACCTATATTGTCCAGCAAAAGTCTAGGTGACGAAAACATGCTTCCTCGATCAGGCTAGGTTTCGGTGTCTTCGGTGTCTTCGGTATCTTCGGTGTCTTCGATGGTTTCAGACGAGGTCCAAAAGTCTGGCCTTCCTCCAGGATGCTCCGGGCAAGTCTTGCAGATCCTGTAGAACAAGCCATTGCAGTTGGGTTGGGCCTGGCATCTTTTCCACAGCCGCCTGCATCCCGGTGCGGCGCACTCTTCATACGAGTGGGAATCGTTGAAATGTCCGCACCCAGGTGCTTTGCAAGAGCCTTTTCTCCCTGAGCTTGTGGCCATGACTGTTTACCGTGGTCGATGGGTGGGAGATAGAGGTGACCCCGACTTGTTTCTTTCCTTTGTATTGCTCAGGGAGATGAAAACCTAGACGGTCACAGCAACGATTAGAGTAGATTTGAGGTGCGTGGGGTGCCGGACAAAGGGTGCCCCTCGACAACATGTAAGAGGCTCGGAGACGAAGGCAGGAAGAGACTCACTTTCTATGGTGTATGGTCCTCGAGGGAGATTGTTCACAGGTCACACCGGTTTCAAGAGACGATGCCAGAAAAGAAAACAGATATGCCGAGGAAGGCGAACAAGAAGTTGAAAGAGTAACACAAAAGCAGAAAAGGGCCAGCATACCGTACTTTCTGTGAATATACGAGAATCAATAGTGACCATTTGTCGGGACCAAGGACTCCAATACTTATCCCCTAGCGCTGCATCTGGGTGCGAGCCTCGCGTGGAGTGCGTGGTAAGCAGTAAATCGGTTACTATCGAGGACTGATAGGTCTGCACCTCTGCTTAAAAGGTGTCTCGCGGTACCTTGGGCCCAGCCCAGCCCAGCCTATCTCATTCAGCGGCGCTTGTGTCATCCCATCTGGGGGTGGGGGAGGTGGGTATTTGAAACTTGGAATCCATAGGAGTCAAATCGCAAGCCCGGCGCAGAGCAGCTGAACGGTCCGATCCTGGGCTTCGGGGCGAATCATTTCTGGATGTGTCGATGTCCAGGCCAGCGTGCGGCCGTCAATCGGAGCACAGGCACTTGGTTGCAGTACCTATTTTTGCAGCTAGATTTGAATGTCGCCAGCCCGCCCAGAGGCAAGGATTGTACTGCTGCCTGGTAGTCCAAAGACAAAACTATAACGAGGTAGAGATGATGCGATTTCGTCGCATGCGAGAGAAGATATATATCATCAATTGGGAGCTCGAAACCTCTCCCTTCTGACTCTGCATTTGATACAAAATTGAAACAGAAAGAACAGAAAGAAATAACTCCAATATCACCTTTTCTATCCGCTTGCTGCTTCCTGTGGTGGGGGGAACATGGATGATGGAAAAAAAGCGAGGAAAGGAAAGAGAGAAAGAAAAAGTGAGATTTGGAACGTGCTACCTAATCGTCGAAACCTATAATTCCAGAGACACACAACCAACCAACCAAGCGACCACACACAAAACACTACCTTACATTACCGCAATATATCCTCGATTCTGGTGCGGAGCTCGTTGGCGACACGCGACTGGTCGGGCGAGATGCCGCCGCCCTGTTGGATGAGGAGGAGGGTCTCGAGGACGCGGGTTGCGGCGGCGTCGCTGCCGAAGACCCGGCCACCGGGGCGAACGGTCTCGTGGTACCAGTGCTGGATGACGTAGGTGAGGTCCTTGGCAATGTATTTCTTGTTTTGGCCCTGGAAGGGCGCTTCCTCTGTGTAATACATCCCCTCCAGGACGCTGAACATAGTCTCGTGGGCGACGTTCAGGTCGAGGAGGAGGTCGATGATCCACGTCGGGGGGCCGACGTCCCGCTGGTGTTCCAGGGCGTAGCGCTCGAGCATCGGCAGGATGATCGGGATGGGCATGATGGAGTCGGACATGCGGAGTCGGCCGCCTAGACTGCGGACCTTATCGATCACCGCTTCGTAGGGCTGGGGCTCGCCCCGCTCGAGGACGTCGTTGTGGAGGTCTTGCAGGAGGTGCTGCCATGTGGACTTGATGTCTGCTGCGTTGCGATGGTCGGCCTGGAAGAAGATCTGGAGACAGATGTCGTAGTAGCTTCCCGGGTCGGCGAAGGTGTTGAAGAGCTAGTCCAGTTAGTGGGAGTTTAAAAGGGCGGGTGAGAAAGAACTGTTGGGAAAATTGAAAACATACAGTGCTGACGTCCTGAATAGGGCCGTCCAAGTCCTTCAAGACCTCGCGTCTGCGCTCCGGCGCAACCCGGGGATCGTCCTTGAATCGTTGCAAGATATCGTCTTGGATGTTAGCAACATCAATCAGGTTGGACGTTTCTTGGACCAGCCGTTGGCGAGCCTGTCGGCTAACGTCTGGTGTGAAAATGGAGGCATTGGCCCGCGCCCAGCCCAGATACTCGATTCTGCGGCTCAGAGGAAGCTTGAAACCGCTCTGCGCAAGCTGAAGTTGAACCTTGGCTGCGTCATAGAACCTTTGGGACTGAGCAAAGTAACGCCAGAGGAGATCAGCATGCTCAATGTCATCATTGGATTTGCGCTCGAGGTAGGTGACCACAAATGGAGAGTCGGTCTGGAGCAGTCGCTCACTCCAACCTTGCTCGAGATACCAGTCATATAGGGTAGTCAAGAACACCTCGTCTTTCGAGTCTGAAACTACTCCATATGCTTCATTCCTGCGTTTGGCGATGACCGTCAATTGTCCGTCAACGACTCCAATATCCTTGGCAGTGTGTTGATCGACTGCGATGATAACCTTAAAGATAAGATCGTAGCATTGCTTCCGGTACTGGAAGGACTCGATACGAGTATCCTGTGGACGAAAAAGGTCAGCTATCATGAAAATTTATCACGAGTTAAAGAGTAGCTTACACCGGCGGGGCGACCATCCACGAGCCATGCGAGTGCCAAGTTGGCCTTGTCTGAGCGAGCGGCGACATTCAAAGCCAGTTGAATAGCACCTATACTAGTTGTTAGCGGCCTTTTCTTTGCTGCAACACGGCTTATGAAATCATACCTGCAAAGAACTCGTTCTTGATGTAGCTATCGACGGCAGAGACCAGGTAATCCATCGGCAAGTTCTCAGATACCTGCTGGAACAAGTGAAGGCTGTCATTCAGCAGATTGCGGCCAAGCTCCGAGTTAGAGCCTACTTCAGTAGCTCGTTTCAACAACTCCTGGGCCTTGAATATCACGACATCCTCGGCACTGCAGAAGCTGCCGCACCGTCGCCTCAGAGCATCGGCTACGGTTTCAACGTTGGACCCCTTAGCGATGTTTCGGTTGACTATGCCCTTCACCAGCTCCTTGGCAATATCGTGGCCCTTAGTCGTACTGAACAGCTGCTCATATGTGAGTTTCATGAAGCGCTCTTTCGACTCTGCTGGCAGGGCGGTCACAATCTCATCCACACGTTCATCAAAGAGGACCGAGACGAAGGAAATGCCTTCGATAGTATGAGATACAAGTTGAACGAGGGAATGCAGCGCGCGATGTTCCGCTTGCAGGGCGGTTTCTTCCTGTTTTGAGGAGACCCGGTTTAGAGCCTCGGGGCCGCTCAGCCCTTCAATGAAGTTCTTGTTCGTCTTGAAGAAGTCTTGCAGAGCAGATAGGTCCCGTTGAATTGCTTGCAATTTGGCAGAAGGTACTGATGAGACAATAGTCTCCACTCCAATGGGCGGCGTTTCGGACACTTCGGTCGTGGCGATCTCTTTCTTCCAAATTGAGCGCAGTAGTCTCGAGATGTAGAGCGCAATCCCCGCATGCCGTGGCGATGGGAGAACCGTATCAATAGCCAAGGTTGAGCTGTCGGCGACAGCATTTTCATTCATCTGAGGCTTGCCGCCGTGGTCAATGAGGACCTTGCGTGCACACTCCAAAACACCCGGATCATTGATTTGGGTGAGTCTAGAGTCACCAGACACCTCCAGCCCTTGGCCGCAAGCAACGGCCAGTGCTGTGGCAACGGTTTCGCTACGGCCATATGTGCGGATGAAATTCTTGGCCACACCATCAAACCCATCATCGCCCTCACCACCGTTCCTTGCCAATGCCGCGAATACATCGACGAGACGCCGTCTGCGAATAATGTGAATACCATTGTTGGTGAGAATAGCAATCTCGGCAGTGGGCTCATCGAATTGAACAGCCAGCTCATTACCAAACCCACCAAAGGCCATTGCTTCTTCGCTGGGCGGAGAGCAGATTCCGACATCCTCCGCCCTGCTGCCCAAGGATAACCAAATTGCCGTCTCACCAGCCTTGGTACTGACAGTCTCTTGCGAGCGAGCCACCCGTCCGGAATCAGGGGCTGAAATAAAGAGAGAGTCCGACGTCGCCGAGTCTTTGGAGGTAAAGCAGAAAAAGTGACCGGGGGGATACCTTACAGAGAACCGGGTGGGCTGTAAAGTATGGACGGGAATACTCGCTGCTACCGAAGGGTGGTAACGTGCCTGGCCCTGAAGCTTATGCGAAGCTGCCAGTTGAGTCGAAGGATTGGTATCCAATGGAGGCGTCTTCACGTGAAGAGCTTGCATGCTTGTGGGAGCACTCGCACCATTGGGTGCTGAAGCCCAGCTGTAGGAACCGGTAGCGCTCAGGTAGATGCGATAGCCTGTTGCAGTTGTGGCCATCAGATGATACCTGGACGCTTCCGCAGCGAGAATAGGACTGATGGAAACGATGGGAATTTTTGGGTTGAGGGTTTCATTCGACGCGATAATATGTCCGATGTTGGCGTAGATGTCTTGCGCTTGCTTCGTGATGGCAAGGACAAGACTGCCGTCGGGCTTCAAATGAAAGACCCTGATTGTGGATGAGGACGAAAGGGTGTAGAGTAGCTTCCTCGTATCATCAACCTCCATTTGCGCGACATATTCGGACGTCGTCTGCGTAAAGCTGCTCAATGAGGGAGTCAAGGCAGCCAGACGAGAGCTGGTGCGGTTGACCTTGGAGCAGCGACCCTGAAACCACTTTTCCTCTTGCTGATACACAAGCTCGTACACATCATTGTCGGAGATACCACCGAAGAAGATACGACCGGTCGAATCCGACGAGGCCAATTGGTCGATCTCCAGTCCCCGTACCGAGGCCGACATGCCGGTTTGATACAAGGTTACTTGACGTGCACCTCCGGGGGTAGTTTCGCATCCCATTCCCAGCAAGATGACATCAGCCGTGGTGGATATTACAAGCAAGTGGGTGATAGTGGGCAGAAACACTTTCGGGCGGGGCTTCGCTAGCTTGACGGTGATGATGCTGTTCGGTTGATCCTCGAATCCAACCAGCTGCGGATTCGGATGCGTGTAATCCCAGATATAGAGAGCATTATCGATTGCGACCCAGGCGTGATTCAACTCGGCGAACAGTCCCATATTCGTCGATACTTGCGCTCGGTTGTATTGGTCGAAGATCTGGTCGGGAATGTTGTACATCTTTACCCTCTGGAAAGGGGCCCATGGTGCCGACGTGGGGAGATCATAGTCGGATGAGAAGCCTTCTACATAGGAGGGTCAGCCGAGTCGAGGCCAGCGTTGCGACCACAAAGGTCAACTTACGGGACAGAGAGCTATCCAAGTCCGGGTAGCGAGATTCCTGGGCAAGGGTGTCATTGATTGTCCGTGCAGCCCGCTGCTCCGTGTTCAACAAGCTCTGCTTGGGCTTTGTTTGGACCGCAGTGAAACTGGGAAGCTGAATGGGGGACGGTGGCTCTTGTGTGGTAGCTGCGGGCTGTTGGGAACTCAAGGCCTGCGCCGACGCGCCCGCGTTGGGTGCCGGTGTCTGGAAGTATGCGCCGGGGAGTGGCCTCTGAGGGGTGAGGGTTGGTAGAGTTGGGTATGACATGATGCAGGCACTGAACGGCGCCCGTATGAGGCGGTTGGGGCGATGTATTGCGCTCTCCCCGGAGAGATGGCTGGGAGACTCGGCGGTGGCAGCGCAATGACGCGACGGTGGAAGACTCGGTCAGAAGGGAGGAGGAAGAGAGACAGATCGAGGGGAGAAGAGGTGAACAAATAACGAAACAGAGGAACACCAATGGTGGGCGCAGAGATTGGTGTTCCGCCACGAGGATGGTGTGTTCTAACCGGACCGAAGAACAAGCACGAAGCTGTGAATTGAAGCAGGATGAGAAACAAAAATGTGCACGGACCCCGGACGGAGGGCGGACGGAGAGCTTTCTCTTCCGCCTTGGAAAGATTATCGTTCCTATGGGTCCTACAGCGTCATATGTTCCGTTCTGATACAACCACCAATAAAAAACAATTTATATTTTATTGCTCCGTTCTGTCTCTTTCCTAATTGCCATCATGTTCCCAGCTCTACGAACAACTTCCTCCCGTCTGGGTTTGCGCCTGGTGCGATGGAGCTCGACCGACAGCCCGGTCTTGCCGCCGTTGATCACCAAGCTGAGGACTGACCTCAAGACGGCTATGAGGGCAAAGGATACCCCTAGGTATGTCTTTTGAGACTAATGAAGCCAGACAAAGAATACAAGGTTAAAACGGTCACGCTAACGCACCGCGCTCCTCTTAGACTGAACGTCGTCCGCGCCCTGATCTCCGAAACCAACAATGCCGCAAAGACCTCCTCTCCCATCCAGACCGATATTCAGCTCCTGTCTCTCATTCGGAAACGTATCGCTGCCTCCAAGGAAGCCATTGAGGAGTTCAAGACCGAGAACCGTCCCGAACTCCAAGAGCTTGAGGAGAAGCAGGTGACAGTTTTGGAGGAATATGGTGCCCAAGTGGAAACCATGAGCGTGGACGATATTAAGCAAATTGTCTCTCAGGAGGTTTCCAACATGAAGGCCGGTGGCAAGAAGGTCGAGGTCGGTTTCGTGCTCAAGACTCTCTTCGCCCCCGGTGGTGCGCTGGACGGCAAGCCCGCTGAGAGAGCCGAGGTTGCAAGAATCGCCAAAGAGGCCATTGCTTCTGCTTAAGATGAAATAATGCTCGCATGTATACTAGTTCACCTGTACGATCACAAATAAAAGTGGGATACTATTACACCGTGGTTGATATTCCGAGAGAGGAGTTCAAATTGCCTACTGCCCTACCAAGTATGGTCATTTTTACACGACTGATAGGATGGCAAAGAGCTGTGGGAACGTAGGAATCTTGTAAACCCCGAGGTCAGGACCTATGATGCACGAAGCGTTGCAGATAAATAAGTGTTCGCGTTGAGATTAAGCTTTCATATGCGCGGTGGCCGTGTAATATTCCAACAAAGAAATCCTTCCAGCGCCTTACCAGATGTTGTCTGTGTCCCAAACAAAATCGCTGTGTTCTACCCTGGTGCCCCGTGTTATTATCCGTAGCCCGAACTCCAGATACCGTCCTATTCGCCTAGCCATTGTCTCGTACCGCCGAACAATCTGGTTGTAGTCTACGTGCAAAACACGGTTATTCCTCCGACGGCAGTCATAATAACACCGAGCCACAACAAGCGATCGGGCTCGATGATTTTCTGCGTTGGCACAAGGCCCTTCAAGCTGAAGGTCGACTTGGTATCTCCACTCATGTGACGTTTTTGCTTCTTAGCCTTGGGGTCGATCGGGTTTAGAACCCTCGTTGGTAGCATTTGTGGTGGCCTATACACAAGGTACATGGGATGCATTGGCGACCCGTCATGAGCGTACAAGTCCAGACGTTGGACGCCATGATACCGATCGACCGAGACGGTGAAAGACTGCAGCTGTTAGTGAGCCTGTACGCGATGTATCGGCCAAGACAGCATACCTTGAACGTCTCTGTTTGATTATATCTCGTGTAAGAGGTCAATGGTGAAGCACATGGATCCGATACCAGCTGGCGTCCATCGTCCGCGAATGGGGTCAATACCAGGGATCCATCACTCTGCGCGGTGTAAGTGCCATGCTGCCACTGCATCAAGCCCTTGGGGCAAGCTGGATCCTGTGCTGTTGGGGTGTTTACACGTCAGGATGCGCTTCCTGCAGCTTGAAATTGGATGGGAACTGACGATTGGCAATGGCACGATAGTAGGCCTCTTCATAGGACCCATCCTCATTGAAAGAGTACGAAATGCCGGTCAGATTCGGCTCTAGAAATCGGTCGTTGATGGGGTCATAGAATCCCTAGATACGGGGACGGGTATTAGCCCAGTCCAGCGATTCTGATGCATCATCGACCGAGGTCCCTAGTAATCAATGCAGTGAACAAGAGGAGCAGAACCTACCGGACCTGTCACAACCTTGCGGGACTTCGTAGTCCAGGTCCCAACTAGATCAGAAACACTGGCAGCACCGACAGCCGTCAGGAGGAGCGTGAAAAGAAAGTAACCCGTAATCATCGTCCCGTTTGTCGGATGGGAAGATGAAGTGGGAGGATTGAACAGATGTTGAACGGAAAGAAAAGGAATGTCTGCCTGCCTCGCTGGCTGGTTGTTTGCCTGACCGTCTGGCCCGAAAGGGCGCAGTCGACCCTTGAACCGGGGGGGGTGATAAAGTGCCCTGGCAGGTATGTGCAACAACCATGCACATCATGGAAACATGCCAAGCCACGCGGTTCCAGTCATCGCGATCTCTCGGAGACCAAACAATCCCAGCGCGGGGACTTACCTATATTTAACCTCTTCCATCTCCATAAAGATCTACGGGTGATCCGCCCATCAATTCACCATTTTCGTCGCTCTATCACTCAATCGCAAGGATGATGGCTGGTCTACAGGCAGCAAAGAAGGACCTCCGGCGGAGAATGCGGGATGCGCTGCACAAGATCCCCGCCGACTCCATCGACAATCAATGTCAGCTCAATCTCATCGCCTTTTCGGCGCGATCTATCTAGATGCTGACTTCTATCAGCCAGAGTCGCCACCAATAGGTTGTTAGCCCTCCGGGAGTACCAGGATGCAAGGAGAATAGGAGTTTACCTCTCCATGCCGGCCGGAGAATTGTCCACCACAGCCATCGTTCGGGACGCTCTGGCGAGTGGTAAGGAGGTCTTTGTGCCATATATACACAAGCTAGAGTTGTCGGAGCAGTCAAGGACCTCCGTGATGGACATGCTATTGCTAGAGTCGATGGAGGAGTTTGAGTCTCTGGAACCCGACAAATGGGGGATCCCGTCGCTGTCGGAGGTCCAAGTCCTCAGTAAGAGGAACTGTTTCGGAGGCAAAGGAGTCTCGCCTCAACCAGAAGACGCTACGAAAGGGCCCTACGGACTGGATCTGATCGTGATGCCAGGAATGGCCTTTGACGGGGGCCTCAGAAGATTAGGACATGGTAAAGGTTATTATGACCATTTTCTGACGAGGTATTCCAGAGAGGTAGCCGCAAGCGAGTCAACGAAGCCGAAGTTGCCCTTCCTCGGTAAGTAACAACTACCCTGACACCGACGCAACCAGCCAGGGAGTATCCTTAACTAATTCTCGCACAGTTGCCCTGTCTCTCAAAGAGCAAATGCTTCCCCCGACTGAAGAGATACCGGTGGCGGATCATGACTGGCCTGTAGACATGCTCATTGTCGGCGACGACCGGTGCCTGGCGCGCCGAAACTGATTCTTTCCCGGACTAGCGAGTCATATCAATCCATAGGTTCGTCTATTTTGCTAGAGGTGCAATAGTTGTATCCCTGCGGCATCCGTGAAAAGCGAAAGGTAAAGAAATGCAAACAAAGTCGTATGACGGCACGAGATCGACAGAACAAAACCAAGAGCCCCCTTTCCCATCAATCAATTCCTTAACGCCCCGTCGAAATCACTGGACGGCCTGAATCAGAGAGACGTTGTCGCCCTTGAGGAGGATTTGGCCTGTTGTAGAGATATAACCAGTCAGCAAATTTCCGTATCCCGCCAGCGATATGATCATAGAGCACGCAATTCCATACCGAGTGGCCTCCGCTTTTCCTCAGCAGTCTGAGTAGCCATCCGAACCTCCACTGCGTCGTCAACCACCAGGTTCATAAACTCATCGAAACCCTGTGCCGGGAGTTGTTAGTCCAAGCGATCGGGGGCCGCCAGAGAACACGGGATTAATTACCCGGATCTTTCCTTCTATCCGAAAGGCCAGCTGCTCGTAAAGCCAGATAGACACCGTCGACCGTTGCTGAAGAAGCTTGAAGATGAAATGAATGGGCGCAAGCAGCGTCTTGCGAGCGGCTCCACCGCCTCCACGGCCGGTCATGGTGGGCAAACGAGATGCGCGAATGTGAAGTAATGGAAAGTGTGGGTGGGCGACCGCAAGGTTACCAGGATTGTAAAGGATCGCTGGTAAAAAAAGACGCGTTGATGGCGGTGCGCGGGGGATTGGAGGCTGAGAATTGAAGAATAGAATGAAGAGCTCCGTTAGTTGAGGATGGGTCGGGGCTCGGGGAAGAAGGAGAGAGAGGCTCACACAGCTTTTCCGTTTGGGTCGATCGTCAGTGACCACATCCATCCCACCTCCACTAACTAAACTAATCACTACTACTAACTAAATCAAACTTCCCCTCCCTTTCCCTCCCTCCTCCCCCAAATCTTCCGCCACTCTACTTGAGGGTTTTGCGCTGAGATCCCTCTCCTTGATCTTCCTTCTTTAATGTCATTTTTAATGAGTGTATATGATCTCACTGCATAGGTGTTAAGCCTTCCGGCCTGGCTGAACCCCTCTTTCCTCTCCCAATTCCATCCACTACAATCAACTTCCTCCCCTCCTGAACATCCCCCCCACCTCCCTCAGTCAACAAACTATGACGAGCAAGGAGGGGGCTACAGGGCAGGCCTTTGGCCCGGTCCTGGCCGCAGTCGCTACCATGCAAGGAAATGTGTCGCGCGCCGAAAAGACGCATGCCCATGAATTCCTAGAGAATTTTCAGAAATCGGTCGGTCTATCCTACCCCTCATTCCGCCATCTTGGTTCAGATTGCCTCCGCCCATGGCCTGTTTGCTGACCATTGTTCGGCTTCTATATCTAGGTCGAAGCTTGGACTATCACCCATGAAATGTTACAGTCTCCCGATGTTCCTGTCGAAGCCAAGTTGTTCGCAGCGACGACGTTGAAAGGAAAGGTGAATTGGTCCTCCGACCTGGGTCCAGCCATTCCTGCCTGCTGACCCCTGCAAGATCATCTTCGATCTCGACCAGTTGCCGGCCGAATCCGTAGTCGCGCTCAGAGACTCTATTCTGAACCTGCTCGTGGGTTTTGCTGCAGGCCCTCGACCAATCCAGACACAGTTATGCGTATGCTTGGCCAGTCTGGCTATCCAGATGCTTACATGGAAGGACGTGCTCCCAACCGTGGGTGCTGCACTGGGGAGCAGCGCAGGAGACTGTGTGTTGGAATTCCTCAAGATTCTCCCGGAAGAAGTGACGGAAGGTCGCAAGATCAATCTGAGTGTATGTTTGGCATAAAAACCATCCCCCTCGGACTGCTTCCCCGTGATCGTGCATCCTGTGGATCCTAATAAACTGGCCCTAACTAGGAAGATGACCTCATCATGCGCACAAAAGAGCTCTTGGAGGACAACGCTGAACAGGTGATGCACCTCTTGATCCAATATGCACAATCGTCACGTATGTACCAGACCCTCACACCCGGTCTAGCCATCACTTTTGCTGTACTGACATTAGTCTCTCTCATCGCACAGCGACTGCATCCACTAATCCGCGTCTCCTGGATTGTATTACTTCATGGATGCGCGAGATTCCGGCATCAAAGATTGTCGAATCGCCTTTGATGGACGTCATCTTGAAGGGACTTGACGACGAAAGATCTTTCGAGGCTGCAGTAGACAGCATGTGTACATTGTACCGAGACACCCGCGAAGTCGACGATTCGCTTGCAATTATTCAGGCCTTGTATCCGCGCATCATCTCGCTTCGCCCCAAGATCGCTGAATTCGCTGAATCCGAAGATACCGACGCCTATAAGGGAATTACGAGGCTTTTCGCAGAAGCTGGTGAAGCTTGGGTTGTGCTGATCGCACGCCTACCATCCGAGTTCCGTGGTCTTGTTGAGGCAGTCCTGGAATGTTGCGCTAGGGATTGGGAGCGAGATGCGATCTCGCTTACCTTTGTTTTTTGGTACGAACTGAAGCAGTACGTTACGTTGGATCGATACGCAGACGCCCGGGTAAACCTGAGCGACGTCTTCTCTCAGTTGGTGGACATCATGGTCAAGCACCTCGAGTATCCTGGACCCGAAGAAGGCGAGACCGATTTGTTCGGAGGTGATCGTGAACAGGAAGAGAAATTCCGACATTTCCGCCACTCTATGGGAGATGTACTCAAGGACTGCTGCGCTGTCATTGGAGTCACCGAATGCTTGACCAAGGCATATCATCTGATCCAGCAATGGGTCTCCAAGTACGCGTCGCAGTCCAGCGATGAGCACGTCCCTCACTGGCAAGAGCTCGAGGCACCATTGTTCAGCTTGAGAGCTATGGGACGCATGGTAGATCCGGAGGAAAGCGTCGTCCTGACGCAAGTTATTCCCTTAATTGTGCAGATTCCCAACCAAGAGAAGGTGCGATTCCAGGCTATCATGGCGCTTGCCCGCTACACGGAGTGGACTGCTCAACATCCCGAGACTCTGGAGGCACAATTGAACTATGTCATCTCTGGCTTCCAGCATAGCTCTCCTGAAGTTGTTCAGGCTGCTGCTTTGGCCTTCAAGTATCTGGGTACAGATTGTCAAAAGCTGCTTGGAGGTCACATTGCTCAACTCCATACCTTCTACGAATCAGTCCTCGACAAGTTGAAGCCGGCGAGCCAGGAGGAGGTCACCGAGGGTGTGGCAGCCGTGGTTGCAGTTCAGCCTCTGGAAAAGATCTACGAGACCTTGAAATTGTTCTGTGACCCCATCATGGCTCGCATCATGAACCTAGCAAACAACGCTCAAGATGAAGAGAGCCAGCGGGCCGTTGCTGGTAGGGCAATCTTCAAGCACTGCAATGAGTATAGCATGCTAACTTTACTTTAGATCACATTGGGTTGATTACCATATTCGTCATGGTTGTGAACCCGTATGTCTCTCCAGGTGAAGAAAACCCCGCCGTGAAGTACTGTGGTGAGATCCTGCCCATCATGAGTACAATCGCGCTGAACTTCACATCATCCACGCCAATCCTCGAAAGAGTTTGCCGTTGCTGGCGTAATATGATCATCTCCTACCGGACCGCAATGACTCCTCTGCTCCCAACTTTGGCTCAAAGCCTTGCTAGTGGTTTCCAGGCATCGCGGGAAGGATGTTTCTTGTGGGCCACTGATGCCGTCGTGCGCGAGTTCTCGGAAGGTGCCGAATTCGTCGACGCGAACACAAGCCAGGCCGTCTTCCAGTTCTACGAACAGCAAGCAATTGCGTTCCTGCGTATTCTGAATGATTTGCCTCCCGAGAACCTACCGGATGGTACGTGTCCACCAGTTCCAGGTATCATATTTGTGATCTAGCTAACGACTTGTGACCAGTCATCGAGGATTTCTACCGCCTTTCCTCTGATGCGATCCGGTTCTATCCTAAGGAATGCATCACGTCTACCCTCTCGGTTCCCATATTCTCAGCCGCCCTGAGTGCCCTCACCCTTCAGCAGATCGACCCTCTGATTGCCACCCTGCACTACTACCATGATCTGTTTAGCTTTGCATTTGAGAAGCCAGCGGTTTCCGAGTTCACCACATCGGATGGCAATGCATACTCGACACCTATTGAAGTCCGTGAGGCCGTAAAACAGCTCATTGCATCCCAGGGTCAACTGCTTGTCCAGCGAATCCTTACGGGCATGATGTTCACGTTCCCTGGCGAGTGTTTCCCAGATGCATCAAGTGTCTTGATGTCCATGTTCGAATTGATGCCTGAAGACGCGGGAACTTGGCTGCAGTCCACTCTACAAATGCTCCCTGCGGGTACGATGAAGCAAGGTGAGGCGGAGCGTCTATTGAAGGGGCTGTTTGACAAAATCCAGTCGGGTGAAACGCGGAAGATCCGCGTATTGCTCCAAGGTAAGACTGATCCTTTTCTGGCTAGGTAGGAGTGAGCTAATCAACGAGTCTAGACTTCACCAACTCGTACCGCCGCAGAAATGTGGCCCCCAGAGACGGACTTGGCCGACTTGAGGCCACTCGCTTCCGATTCAGTGGATAGAGGTTCGGAAAGTAGTGGAACCAGGACTGAGCAAGTCATGGAACAGCACCGCTGAGGATGTTGGGAGTGACACCCACCACCCACCGACGCTCAGCCCTCGAGTCGTGGCGGACATACACGAAATTTTTCCGCGCCTACGGCATCTATCTGGGAGATTCGGCATGCGTTCGTGCGTTGAGAATCCTATCAGATTGCCCCTCATGTATTTTCCTCCCCCCAGCATCAGCATCGCCCATACACGGTTGCATCCGGTCGTTCCATAAACCATTCGGGGGTGATGAGCCGCCACGACCCATCTGGGGGCAGCAAGCGAACAGAGCAGCTCGCACCATTACCCACTCTGTAAAAGCTTGAGACCATTAGTATTATAGTGTAGGAATCTTAGATATATCACAGGAGCAATGAGTCACCCGTTTCTCTCATCGGATTGGTGCAAATTTGTCAACCCACATGGTATTATGTCGGTCAAGAATACAGCTATTTGGTCTGAGCTAAGGACGCGATGACTATATTTTATGAAATCCATAGTGCGGCACCTTTACTATTATGGATGTCGGAGAGATGGTTCCCCTGCAAGGGCACGATTGTGGTGGCGAAAACTGTCATGGACAAGAGTAACAGGTTGCCTCTCAGTGGCTATTGTTATACCCAAGATGACTTTTTCCGTGTCTTTTATCTGGCACTTCTTGAAAAGTATTGATAAGATGACCTCAGATGATACAAGCAAGATTCAAGATCAGAAGGTAGGAGATAAAGCTGGCATGATAGTTTTATTTTTGATATAGATCTAGGTTAAAAGATCATCATCTAAGAACAGGTTGTGTAGTGTAGTGGTTATCACTTTGGATTTTGAAACCAAACAAGTTCCAATAACCCCGGTTCGAACCCGGGCACGACCTTTCTTTTTTGTATCCATTCTTTTTCTGTCCATCCACGCAATCCCCTCAGGAATAGTCTTTTTGGGTACCTATTGTAAACATTATAGTTCCATTCCCCCCGCGGGCCTAGAACAGCACATGATCTTGGATGCAGTGGTGGTGTATCAGAAACCTGGCGAGCAGCGTCAGGGATCCCAACTCGGTGTCTGGTATGAGTATCCCGTCTTCGCTGGTTAGTCCATAACGCTGTGTGCGCGATTTCTAATGTAGATGACAGCAGAGCAGACGGCTATTATTCCCTGCTGTGGGGTGCTTTATTGTCTGGATTTACTCGGCTACGCTGCTATCGTAATCCAGGCATGGTTGGATCGAACGGGTGAAGGTCTACGAATATATGTAATAACTGAGCATTTTCTTAGTGCAATTCCGCTTAAGTATGCAATAGAACCCATCTGACAAGGATCGAATTGTTTCTAGATGGCTTCTATGAATGTTCGATGCAGGACTCGTGACAAATGACGTGGTGATTTTCCACCCCAGCCCCGTATTGCTAATCATACTAGATGTTGAAGCAGTTGTAGATGAAGCATGTCATTTGAATTAAGTTGACTGAGGCATTCAATTCCGCCCCTCCCCGATAGGGATCTGCCCCACCTTGCCGTCCAGCAACGAAGAGGGTTCACCATCTCGCTCATCTTCACCACGCTTTATCTGTTCTCCACTGCTCACTGACTTACACACTCCGAACTGCTGCAATTCCCGATACTACTAGCAGATCTCATCCCGCTGCTTAGTTTCCCGAACTCGAAGACTGCACTCGCCAGGTGGCTATAAATTACTGCGCTGACTCCTCTCGGAATCTCCCCGGCCATCTTCCCCTCTTACGTCTCCAAATTCAAATACTTCCCCAACTGCCTGCCACCAGTCATACGATACGCTCACCAATACGCGCTTCGCCCACTTTCTCGGCCCCAGCCAATCTTAAATTCTGCACTGAGTCCCGAGTATTCGGCTTGCACTTGTTCCGATAGATTGAAACCTCTCCCGAGACCTGCCCGAAGCTGCTCAGTGCCGCCCGCCGAGATTTCGCACCCCACGGGGTTCGCGCAAGTCCACGATCGTGCCTAGACGCTCGCCTGTATCGCTGCCTTCCTTCGATATCCTCCTCACTCGCGTGCGCATTCCATGGCAGGTCTCGTCATCTCACTGGTTCGGGTGTGAACTCTAGGGGTCATCTTTGCCGACCGACAAGGTGCTGATGGTTATACTCTTCAACTGTCACGTCTTTTGCGGGTCACCCTCTGCTTGTCAGTCTAGACCAGGGGGCCCAGAAGGATAGCGCAGAACGAGTTCTCCTCGATACTCACGAGCATTGGCTTGCCTCTCTCCGAGGGTTCATGATGTCCTCAACTGTCGCTGCAGTGGCTCCCTTGGAGCAGGGGTTCAAAGGCTCCCACGAGGACACACACATGCCGACTGAAATTGACACAGCCGATGCGGCGCTGCATGGGGCATCGCGAAAAAGAAAAAGGGCCCGGAAAATCCAGACAGATCGCAAGTTTGAATGTACTTTCGAGAATTGCGGCAAATCCTACTCACGGGCAGAGCATCTATATCGTCATCAACTCAATCGTTCGTCCCTCGAGCTTCAAAGCTTAATTGGAGGGTAAGCTGACTAGGAGAACACATAGACACGCCGAAACAGATTTACCGATGCGATTTCCCGGACTGCTACCGATCTTTTGTGCGACAAGATCTGTGTGTGCGCCATCGCGAACGGCACACGACGCAAGGCTCTCAGCTGCAGAAACGGGACAGTTTCGCCCAAGCTGCGGTGAATAATGCGCCAATCGTACCTGCTGAGCAGAAAGAACAACCTATACCCAAGAAAATCGACGGTGATTCGCCGACGGGGATACCTGCAGCTTCTCCCCAATACCCGTCAACCCAGGCGCCAATCGAAGGGCGGATAGATCCTATTGCACTCCAATCCATCAAGAACATCGGCACCAAGGTCACAGCAGTACTCTCTTCTCGGCCTGGCCATTCCCCTCCTACATACAAATATCAACCCCCTCTTTCACAACCGGGCGTTGAGCTGTCGGATACCACTTTTTCTCGCTCTGTCAGTTTGAGCAACCATACAAACAGCTCTCCGACGGGCCAGTCAACAACCACATTCAGTCCCTCGGAATATCAAACGCATCGTAGCCATCCCTCCACTAGCGTATCTCTACATAATGGTGAGACATGTCAACAGACTCGAGCGCGTCATCCTGCGGATGAAACCACGATGCTATCTAGCTACATGGAAGGACCGTCGCTGGCCCATTCGGCGTCATACCCACCCATTCCTGTGGGTGGGTATACCGATATCTCACTGGGGCCAGCAACAGCTTCAGCCTCGACTACTCTGAATAATGTGAGTACCTTCGAAGCGCTGGATTCTGTGTCTGGAATGATGGCACCGGGATCAACGGTGGGAGACCCCAGCTTCGACGCGCTGACCTCCTGTGTCTATCCAATTTTTGGCGGAGAGACACATAACCGGTCTCCGTTCGCGATGCCCGAAGATTTCACCGCGTGGCTGTTTAACGACCCTCTCCCCGGTTCGTCATCGATGGGTTATCCGTCTGCCACCAATATGATACCAAACTACCTCAATGCTATCCAGCTACAGAATCAATTTCTACCGAGTGACCCTGGTTACGGAAGTTTTATGAACGGCGTCATTCCGCATGACCCGATGAGTGTTACTAGCATCCTAGACGCCGGTTCTTCGCGAATGAGCCTGTCCAATGACAAGAGACAGGAGCTTCTCGCGCTCATGGGTTCACGATTCAACGAGGCTGCATACTCGGCAGTGGCAAAGCGGAAGGATGCTCTGATGGACGGTGATATGAATGACGATCGCCATGTTCTCGGACCGCGGATGATGGAGGCCTATATCGCCTCGTATTGGCAACACCTTCACCCACAATTACCTATTTTACACCGTCCTTCGTTTGTCTTGAACAAAGCCCCGAACTTGCTTCTGCTGGCTGTCATCGCTATTGGGGCGTCTACTCTGGACAAGGTCTATGGAGCAGACGTAACAGAGACCGCAGCCGAACTGGCGAATTTTATTGCATGGCACCTACGATGGGAATTATTCATGGATGCCGATTTTCGCCCACCAGCCAAGCTATGGGTCTTCCAAGCACTACTACTTCTTGAGGTATATGAAAAGATGTACTCAACCCGTGCGCTGCACGAGCGAGCCCATATTCACCATGATACTACACTCACGTTGATGCGGCGTGGTAGCTCGTTGATCGGCCGCTCCGCACTAGATTCTCCGGCGAGTTTGAGAGACGAGCGGCAAACTCGCTCAGTCACCGGGTCAACAATGACGCCTGACTTCGTGGCAGAAGAATCCTGGACTCATTGGATCAAGGCTGAAGCTACAAGACGAGTGGCATTTGCGGCTTTCGTGCTGGATTCAACGCATGCCACTATGTTCGGACATTCCGCAAAGATGGTGGCTCACGAGCTGCGTCTGCCTCTTCCGTGCGATGGGGCGCTGTGGTCTGCGACCAACGCCTCTGAGGTGGCTCGAGTGCAATCCAGCTTGCATGCCAATGGAGTCAAACCGCTGCTGTTCTTGGATGGCCTGAAACGAACACTCAACGGCCAGCCGGTGCGGACCAACGCTTTTGGACGCACCATTCTCATGGCGGGGTTACTGAGTGTCAGCTGGCACATGAATCAGCGCGACCTTCAGGTCAGCTCGCTGGGTGTACTGCAGGCATTGGGAGGCCGTGATAAGTGGAGGTCCGCGTTACTGAGGGCATTCGATAATTGGCGGCGGGACTTTGATGAGGCCCTGGGAACGTCAGAGTCAGGGTCGTTTTCTGGTGGATACCGAGCGCGACATCCTTGGGACGAAGCGAATGTGTTTGAATCGCGTGATGTCCTGCATGGACTAGCACACATGGCCTCCCACGTCGACATTGTTGACTGCCAGGTTTTCGCCGGAGCCGGTCGGCTCATGGGGCGAGCCATTACCCGAAAGGACTACGATGCGGCGCGTGAGAAGATGGTTCGATGGGCTACCAAGGCCACAGCCCGCGACGCCACTTTTTACGCTCTGCGGTTCCTGTCCGAGTGCCTGTTGGACGGTGAGCGGGCACTCGATGACGATGACGTATACTCGGGCCGGGATGACTATTTGCTCAACAGACCGTGGGTCCTCTATGTCGCTGCCCTCGTGGTTTGGTGTTACGGATATGCCCTGGAAGGACCGCTCCTTCATCCGGTCAAACTGGCCACGCCTGCAGAGCAGCGACACGATATGCAGCAATTTTTGCGACGAGTCGGCGGGGTCCGCGAACCTAGTGACCTGGAGGGTATGAAGGGATGCAATCAGTGCATGGGACTGCTGCTGGTTCTCCGCAATGGATTCACAAATACACGTTGGGAGCTGCTGAGTGAGGCGGCCTATCTACTCAGCAGCTGTATGGACAAGCTGAACGGGGGCGCGGCCTCCTGAACTGGCTGATGTGTTCGAAGCTTGGTAGTATATGCTGCCCTCATTTATGTGTATTTAGCGTGCTTCTGGATGGCCTTTTGTCTTCATGTATATTTAATCTGCTTACCTAAAGCGTTCCAGAGATCGAAGCTGAAGTCAGCTTCACGTGTGGTAGTTTCTGATTGTTGTCTGTGATGCTGCTGCTTGGGAATGAGTTACGACTGAGATACCATGGCGAGGAGGACCGCGTTTGAACTCTGCAGTCATCATTTTGCTCGAATTACAGATGATTCGTCGATATATCTTTGAGTAAGAGACAATTCAGTGTATTTTCCGGTACTCCGTACGGAGTAGTCAGTTGTAGATGGACAGGATCAAGGAGATGGCCGTGTTGCCTGAGGTGTCCGGTTACCACAACAACAACCGCGGGGCGTCATTGCTTGTTTCTCTTTCTACCTCTTCTCTCTCTCTTTCCCCACCGCCTCGCCTCCTTTCCTCTTCCTCTTCCCCCTCCGCGCTTCCCCTCCCCTTCATTCCATTCAATTCACTTATTCTCTTGGTGTTTACCCTTCCAAGTGAACGTGCTGATTAATACCTCCGTGTCGATTTATCGCCCTATCACCCTTGCTCTTACAGAACATTCCGTTTCGTGGAAATCAACATAACAACAACCATGGTACGTGGCTGGATCTCATTGCTTATGGGGCCAAGGGCTGCGTCGGGGTTCCTGATGGGCGGATGAGGGAACGGCCGGACGATGACACGCCAGTCTAATCGGATGCATCTGCCACAATGAAGACCTTAGCGGATTGTTGTTGATCGGATGTTGACTCTACGAGAGGGTTCAATTGGAACCATGGAATCCCGGCCCCCTCGTCTGCCCGTCCAATCCCTTCCGTCCCTCGTTTCCGCGGATCGCAGCCTTGCGTCGCTGATTGCTCGTCATCTCAGCTGCACGAGCTGAATCTTTCCTCTTTTTCTTCTTCATCCCCATCGCTTCCATTCCTTCTTTCCTTTTTCTACCTGTCTGCCTTTTATTGCTGCCAAGATGCCTCACTCACCCCATTCTCACCACGATCAACAGGCCTCGACCAACTACAAGGAAGCCTTCTCGCTGTTCGACAAGCGCGGTACCGGCAAGGTCGCGATCGAGTCGCTCGGCGACCTCCTCCGTGCGTGCGGTCAGAACCCCACGTTGGCGGAAATCGCGGATCTGGAGAAGACCGTGGGCGGAGACTGTATGCGCGCAATGACCCCGGGATAAAAGAGGCATCCTGGCTGACTGATGGTGACAGTTGATTTCGAGTCGTTCTTGAAGGTCCTCAACCGCCCCGGAGGATTCCGCGATCCCGGCGAGCCCGAGGAATATACCCGTGGATTCCAAGTTTTCGATAAGGATTTGACTGGGTTTATCGGAGTGGGACAACTGCGCTACAGTATGTTCACATCACTGGGGGAGACGCTGAAAATGGGGGACTTGCGGGACTGACCATGCTATAGTTCTCACGAACCTGGGCGAGAAGATGTCCGACGAGGAGGTCGATGAGCTGCTCAAGGCCGTTGATACTAGCTCCGGCGAGATCAACTATACCGGTATGTTGACGGCACCTCACACTTGTACGAGAGCCGACCCGCTGATCCCATCCACAGACCTCGTCCGCACCATCCTTGCCAACTAAACAACATACGATACCCTTCCTGACGCTTCCTGACGAAATTCTTTTTCTTCCCATGCGATCCTGCAGCCGGCGTTGTCGGCTTGAGATTAGATTTAGTTTATCTGTTTTAGGTTTATCCTTGTAGTGTATATGGGGCTGTTCATTCAGCGAATTGGAAATGGAAAGACAGCATGTCTATACTTTACTATATAGTGTCTACCGATCCCATTAACTTGTATGGGCTGATTCCCGATGATTGCTTCCGGATTTCATGCATTCTCCAACCACCCCACCCACTCCCGATCCATCGCCCTCAACTTCTCCGCATCATTTGCATCCATAACCCCGGTCTCCATCAACGCCCCGGGCAGGAGGTAAACCACCTTGGCCCCTCTTTCTGGACCCTCGCCTTCCCCTTCCCCTTGCCCACCATCCCCTAGTCCTCCTCCACCTCCACCAGCCATCTGTTTCCGCTGCCCCGCCCCCGAGACAAAATGGACGGGATCCAAGAAATACCCCACGACGACACGACACCGCCCGCACCGAAGAAACAGGCGCTTCTCAAACCCGTCCTCGCGACGGATCAACGTGGGTTTCCGGTCCGGGATCGTGGTAGAGAGGAGGATGGTGTAGTGCTGTTGTTTGGGGGCCTTTTCCCCGGCCGTTTGTGCTTGTGTGTGTTGGTTGGATGTGGGATCTGGGTTTGTGTCGTGCTCGTGCTCGTCATCGTCGGCGCGCTCGCTATCGCTCGGAAGAGGCAGGACCAGGGCGGCGTCCTTGGCGGGATCGGCGCGGCGCGGGAGGGCGCTGATTGTGCGTGTTGTTGCTAGGAGGAGGTGGTTGCAGAAGCGGCAGTGGTTTGTTTGGACCCGGAGGCGCGCGGGGTTCTCCTCTTTGGTTGAGGTTTGGGGGTCGTTTTGGGGGTCGATTTGGGGATCGATTTGGGGATTGGGGGGTAGTGAGGCCATTGTTTTGCTTGTGGATTGTATATTTCTGGGTGGTGGAGATTGAGGTATAATTATGATGTAACTGAGGTGCGGAGGTGTGGACTAGATGTGGTTGTTGCTGTTGTTGTTGTTGTTGTTGTTGTTCGGAATTTATGTATGATGTACTGTAGTTGGGATTGAAGATCGGGGCTGTTGGAGTGGGAATTGGAGATGGAGATTGAGGTGGTTGCCTGAGGTTTCTTTCTTATCCGGCGGAGTGGATACGCTAGGCTTCTTCCGTCAGTAGGGCTTATCGATAAGCTTAGCTTGCGTCTGTCATCCTGCTGGTGCTGGAGCTTATTTTGCGCTGCTGGTGCCTGAAGCTAAAGAAGGGGTGTCCGTGGGTTTCTTCCCCAAAAATGCCTATGCTATCAATATAGGATTGAGTCGGTTGGGAAACTAAGGAAACGCCTACATTCTTGTTATAGGGTTGAGTGTGGCTGGGAAGCTGTAAAGAAGGGGGGTCCGGGGGTTCTCCCCCGGAGACACTTATTCTGGTTATTAGATTGAAGTACCGGGAAGGTTGAAAGAAAAGGGGGGCCCGGAGGTTCTCCCCGGGAAACACTTACTCCGGTTATTAGATTGAGGTGCTTGGGAAGCTGAAAGAAAAGGGGGGCCCGGGGGTTCTCCCCCGGAAACGCTTATTTTGGTTATAGGGCTGAGTATAGCTGGGAAGTTGACAAGAAGGGGGGTCCGGGGGAGAACCCCTGGAAACGCTTATTCTGGTTATATGGTTGAGTATAGCTATAAGTGCGAAGGGGGGCCCGGGGGTTATCCCATGGAAACGCTTATGTTCTGGTTATAGGGATGAGTATAGCTGGGAAGTTGACAAGAAGGGGGTCCCGGGGTTCTCCCCTGGAAACGCTTATTCTGGTTATATGGTTGAGTAGGTCTACCGCGCTGCTGAGTGTCTTGGATAAAGAAGGTCTATCTCCGGACCTTGCCCTGATGGTATCCTGTTGCGCAAGGGTCCTGAGTGATATCTCGCTGACAGCAGCCGTGGACAAACGCCTCAGGCCAGTCCTCTTTGCACCATTCACCGGCAGTTTCTTCCCAGTCATCCTGGAAGTAGTCTTGATTCATCTCGTATGGCTCTTTCAGGTGAGACAACTAGCATCATGTATCTACAATGACTAGATCGCAAGCCATACCCGTGTGAAAATGGCAGCTGGTGCTCGTGTTCTCGGTCACGTCGAAGTCTTTTCCGCAGTTTCTGCAGGTGGCGTAACGGAGCTTGAGCTTCTTGGCGTCGTCCGCGGACTGAGATGGATATTGCGGATTTCTCTTCCTCTTACCGCCAGCGCCGCGGGCATCCGCGGCATCTGTGCTCTCCACTGGCGCGATCTGGTCCTCGTGTACTAAAAGACGGGAGGACAGGTAGTCTTTCGCCTCGGGGACGTTGGCGTAGAGGTCTTTAAGGATTGCCTGCAGTGTTTTTTTTAGGAGTGGACATGATGGCGAGATCAAGTTTTTGGATAGGTTCTGCAGTTGGGATAGGCATTTTGGATGTTGAGTGCTGGAAATCACGAGTCGTACGCTGCGCTGTTGTCGTGGTATTTATGATGTAGGGCTGGGAGTTGTTCTAGTAAGGATGTTTACAATGTGCCAGGGACGCGTTGCGCTATTAGCCGCCACCAATAGGAGCTATAATTTCACAAATGTTCTGATAGGGTACTTTAAAGAGGTGGGGTGTGGGGAATGTGGTCCGTCATATTTGCCTATCTGACAGGTGTCAAGGCTGTCCAATGCTTATTGATAACTCAATTCGCTTATGGTTTCCAAACTTTGTCGCTTCTTACACCTTTGGGAAGAACTGGGGAATTTTGCTGGTCGAATTCTTGACGAGCACGGGAATATGTTAAACTATCGTAGATGATTCTAGTACAAGTAGTACGTCAGTATTGGACGTCTCAAGGCATCATGAAGGAACTCACTGAGATGATCCCGGCGATCTGTGTTAATGTAGGCCCTGAGGTGCATGCAATGCAGGTAAGGCCTTCATTGCCACGTTTAAGTCTCAGAAGAGGGTGTATCTGCCATGCTATGATCTGGCGATGTACCCAGAGCTCCCATCGAAGAAAGGCGAAGAGCTAGATAGCTCCTCCACGCGGGACCCTGCAAGCACAGATCTAGCAGAATAACCTGGAGGTCTTCTCGCGAGGCAGAATGATAGCCCTTTCAAGCTGCTGATCGCAGTCCGCTGTGGTCCCCATCGCCGGGTCAAGTGGTATTGCAGGCAACGAAAACAGCCCCTCAGGCCCTGCGACGCCGTTCTCAACCACGTCTCTCAACAGCGCCTGCCTTGCGTTCTCGAACAGCTCCATAGGAGGGCTAGTGGCTGGCACCGTACGCAGTTCTCTGTTGTAATCCGCTGCCACGCTAACAGGTCGCCATCGCACTTCAAACGGCCGCGGACCGCGCTCAACTCTCTGTTTGCGTGGCTTTCCCTGCCGCTTGGCTCCACTCCGTCGAGTCGTCCCTTTTCCGCCTCCTTCCTCGCCTCGCCGCTCGAGGACTTGTGTCGTTTGCTTCTTGATCAGCTCATCGTGTGCCTTGACGTGGTCGGAGATGATTAATTGACAAGGTAGGTCTCGACTGGAAGGGAGTCAAGTGGTGATTTGATCAGTTCATCAACCCTTTCATTCGTCGTGTGTTGCTGTACGCTCGACGGTTGCTTGCGAGATGGAAGATTGGAGCTAGAATGTAAATGTAGGGAGGTAGTAGAAGCTGGGTGGGATGTTGTCTGCCAATTTGTGGGGTGGTAACAATGGGTTATTTCTTTACCATGGTGAATGTATGCCACATAGAACTAAGCCATGATCCAATGCTTCCAGTCTGGCAACTGACCGCAGCTGTCATATCCTAGTTGAAGTCCAGCTAATGAAGGGGGTTCTCTGACTCTAGTTTACAGGCAATTTTCGAGTGCTGGGAGAGATTTAGTGATGGATACCGCATGATCAGCTCGACACTTGCTGGAGTTATTCTTTTATTATTGCTGGGAATCAGATCGGGACCGTTCATATCTATGTACATTTCTTGAAATCTCTGCTGGCTACTGATCAAAGCACTGTTATATACTTTTGCTGATTCGATATCTATCTTGCATCAAGCAAATGCACCGGGCAATGGGAGAGCTTCTCGATGCCAATCAGTTCCGCAGGGCTCCTTGGTCATATTACGCCCGCAACATTGATGAATAAATCCTTCTGGGCACATTTCGCGGTGCTCTTCAGTATCTGGCTCCCCATACCCCTCTTCTGTGAAAAAGTTGTCGTAGTCGGGCTCGCTTATTTCTGTTTGTATATGCTTTAGCTTGCAATTTTCAATCATGTCGATCCGAGCAATCTTTCTCTACCATTGTGGTATCTGCAACTCGTGCTTGTATTCTCCATTACATAGAACCGTTCCGCACAATTCACAAATGTAGCAAAACGTAATCTCAGCCTTTTAGAGGTTGGGTCGGTGGGATAGTGGGCTCTCTTTCGCTTGCGTTGAGGTTGGGCCTCCTCGTCATCGCTGCTGCTGTCATTTGTCTCTTTGTCTGTGTCTTCGTCTTGGTCATCGTCTTCCTCCTCGTCCTCTTCCGACGTTGTGGTGTCGTCATAAGCATCGACTGGGGCGACTTGCTTCTCCGCGACGAGCAGCTGGGATGTCACAAATCCCTTGACCTCGGGATATACAGAACAAAGCAGGCCCACGAGGTCTCTTAGGGTCTCTGCAGAGGCACACTGAACGGCCAAATGGAGATGCCATGACTTCAGTGTTCGTCTCTTATTCGTTTTCTTCTATGCTCGGGAAAAATAACGTGGTGAAAAAAGTATTTGTGCTATAATATTTCCACCTTTTCAGTTCGCTCCGCACCGAGAGAGTAGGCGCGGCCCGACGCGACGCCGACGCGCTATTTGCGGGGCACGATGAATTGAATCAGATGGGAATCAAAAGTATTCTCTGCCTACGCCTGGCTCTTTTACCGATTGGTGAAAGTCCCTTTGACAAGGCTCTAGGGTAGTGCCTTCACAGCATTCGTGAATGCATCCTTGCGGGTATCTCTTGCGGTTTTCTTCGCTATCAACATTATGGAAGTCGATCTGATCCCCGAAGAAGTCGACGTCGAGCTCGCCATGAGTGGCTGTTATCGGACAAAGCAGATCGGTTAGTACTCTCGCATCGAGATTATGTATGATTGTCGTTCAATGGTATATTGAATAAGGAGCATTGGCCTACCTTCATGATAGCGACAGCTTGTGCTTGTATTTTCAGGTACATCGTATTCTTCTCCACATTCGATGCATGTCACGTAACGGGGCTTGAACTCTTTCTGCGGATTCATGTGATCAGCGATGGAGGACGGCGCTTCTCGCTTTCGTTTGTTGCTTGTTGTAGGGGTGGGGGTTCGGGGTTCGGTGCTGGACTCATCATCGCCATCGCCGTCATCGTCGTCCTCGTCGTCTTCTAATGTGAGCTCTATTCTTGGCGCAGGGACAGGAACTTTGTCCTCTGGTACTAAGAGCTCGGAGGCTATGAGGTTCTTCGCCTCAGGAATTGTCATGCATAATTGGCTTAGGACGCGCTGGAGATGCTCGGGAGAGGTTATCTTAATGGCGCGTTGGAGTTGATCATCGGTATTGGAGGAGAATATTGTCATGGTGGTTGTTGGCGTTATAGTGTTGCAAAAGATGCTAGATAGGAAGGATGCGCGCTGGTTCTGATTCTAGATCACTACTTGTGGTGATCTGTGTTTGGAGCCGAATTTAGATCTGTTAGTGTAACGCGAACATGACACGCTAAATACCATGACGGGAAAAAGCAATGCCAATTATCGTTTGAGAGAGAGAGAAGACTGGAAGGCGGATGGGATTATCGTTATAGGAAGGTACGGGAGGCGGGGAAGCTGGGAAGGCTTGAATAACCGAGGAACCTCTCTACTTCTCCTTGAAACTCACCCTCTGCTATGACTTGACATTATCATCTACTTACTATGACAACAGCAAGAACGTTACCCAAGCAGTGCGCATTGCATCTGCAGGGTCTGTGAAGGTCTTCAAACATATTCATACCTTGTCCTCCAGGCCTCCTTTGACAACCTCCGCTAGACCCTTCAGCGTTGTCGCCTCGTTCAAGATGCTGAGGAAGGGAATATCGGTCTTGTGCGTTTGATAAGACCAGGTCCGGAACTCGGCTGCCAACATGCTGTCCATCCCGAACTTGGTGATCGGTATCGTGGAATCAATCTTGACCACTGGAACCAATACTGATAGGACAGTGCGTGAGAATCACATGGTACGCTGAGAAGAATAGGAGGAGCATGATACGCGATCCCTGGGATATTTTCTGATTCGCTCATATCGTTGGTCAAGCGATCCTACACTTAGTGTCATCATATACCAAAGGACCTCCGAGGAGCAAGTTGTTCACTGCAACATACGTGATATGGGGCGGTGTGGTGTTGCTATCCAGACCAGTCCCAATGATGACGCCTCCAATAGGAAGCTGGCTCGAGGCATATGGTACATGCAGAGGCGGAACAAGGTCCATAATCGTGGTAAGTCAGAGAATAAGACCTTGCTGGTAGCATGGCAGAAACATGGAGATGAGTCCCATGTCTGCTGCATTGACTACTGTGACTTGAGGCAATAACTTGCTATCTTAATATCGTGATAACTTTGGAAGAGCTCAGAGTTTCAAATTTACCCACTGTTATTTTGCAGACCAAGGAAAGCTTATCTCCCGCATTCTCGGGCCCAGGAGGATCTTTCTAGCCTTCGGTCTATTTTGCTTCCCGACTTCACCCCGGCCCTGACAGTCAGTCCCGATTCTTTTCTCTTTCATGTTCCCTTACCCACCTTCCTACCCTTTCATCCTTTTCTCCCTCCTCATGGAATGCTTGATTGAAGCAGGTGTTCAAGCTTTATGCTCTTTCATCTACTCTCCTCAATCTCAATTAATTCGAGGCATTGCTCTACATATACTACAGCTTCAGATACTTGGTATTGGTACTTCAATTTAAAGATCCTTTCATTCAAGATGGCTACAGCAAGTATTGTCCTTGAGGACTACTCCACAATGTCTAATGTCATATTCTACGGTGCTCTTTTTTTTATCATATTATTGATTCTCAGTTACATTCGAGCTTGGCTCTTTCTCAGAGGCTTCCAAGATCCAAGGCTTGCGTGTTTCTCAGAGCTGTGGCTCGCCAAGACAGCCCTTTCTGGCCGCTTTCACGAGATCTTGTTGGAAGCGAGTAAGGAATAGGGTTTGTGATATCCCGGACTTGCTTGGCTTCGCATAGTGAAATCGGTACTATTTACAGGCCCTTTGGTCCGAATTGCGCCAACTACGCTTCTCACGGACGACCCGGACATCATCCATCACATGAACAGCGCCCGCAGCAAACATGCCAAAACCGAATGGTATACCTTCATGAGACTCAACCGTACATTGAAAATATATTCTCTGAGCGAGACCTTGCAAGGCATGACCAATGCGAGCGATTATGGGTCCAGCGGTGTGACCCCTTCTTCCGCTAAGGTAGTTGGATTGCGAATGCTGATGATGCATCTATAGTATACCACGAAGAACAATGCCATTCTCGAAGGGAAGATCACAAGAAGCATTCAGACTTTCCTGCGCTACATCGATGAGCGCATAGTCCTGGGGGATGGCAAGTGCACCATGGACTTTAGTAGGGCCTGTCAATTCTTTACTCTCGATGTCATCACCGACATGGCCTTTGGGGAGCCCTTTGGATACCTCGCCACCGACCAGGACTTGCATGACTATCATACCACCTTCGCTGCAGAAGCACCCTTGATATCAGTCATCAACTCCATGCCGACGCTATGTCGGTTCATGAATCGTGACTTGGTCAAGAAGCTATGGGGTCCGAGCACTAGCGTTGAGAAGGGCATTGGGAAGCTTATGGCGTATGCTAAACCTCTTTCCAGAGAGAGATGAACATTAGCTGATAAGGGTTAGCATGGCCGAGAACACGGTCAGAACTCGAATCGAGTCGGGCAAGAACGAACAGGATATGCTTGGGTCATGGCATGTCTGTTGCACAAGCCGAAGCTGAAATCTTGACTCAGCTGTTAGTTTCTCATGTTTCGTTTTTCTAGAGTATGCAACAGCTAACGTGCATAGGTCTGCCGGGACTGACTCCAACTCTGCGGCACTTCGAGGCACATTCCTTCATATTTTCACATCACCACCAGTATACAATAAACTCCACGCTGAGATTGACGAAGCCATTAGCAACGGTAGGATCTCTCCGCAGGCGACAGCCGCAGAGGTGGCGGCACTGCCATACCTCGATGCCTGCATTCGTGAAGGAATGCGCATCTGGCCTCCATTTGCAGGGCTAAACATCAAGCAAGTCAACAAAGGCGGAGAGGTCATCAAGGGTCGGTTTGTCCCGGTGGAACTGGGATCACAACATCTTTCTGGGGCTTCCAGCGTAATCCGGTATTTGGCAAGGATGTTGAAACCTTCCGGCCGGAGCGTTGGCTGGAGGCAACTCCTGACCAGAGGGCTCAAATGGAGAAGGTCCATGACCTTGTCTTTGGGTACGGGAGATGGCTATGTCTGGGGCGACAGATGGTCATTATGGCAATGAAACAGGTTATTGTCGAGGTAAGCGTTCCGATTACTTGCCGCCTGAACAATGTTGAAGGCTAATACGCTGCCTATCTTAGCTCCTGCGCCACTTTGACTTTTCTATCTATAGCCCTACTAATCCTTGGACTGTCAAGAGTTATGTGTTTATGTTAATTCAGGATATGAAAGTGACGATTACACGCCGTGCGTGAGATGGAATTCATGGATAGGGTACATTGCGGGAAAATATGGAATTGTACTGTACTTCCCAGAGCTTGAAGTGTATCTCCTAGTGGTAGTGGAAGACCTGCAATGATCATTTCGTATCCTCAACCTGAAAATCTCAAACACAAGACGGCTCGGTTTAATTGTGAAAGCTATGTTCTCGCGCCGTTTGAGACAATCCGTACTCGTCTTTGCCCAGGAACTGCCTAGCAAGCTACTGGAATCCCGCACCCTGAACAGCCCAGACGCAGTGTAACGCCTTCTCAGATGCGATCTGCAAGGAGCACTGAGCTGAACCGGCTATCTACAAGGACATGAAAACAGGGGTGATGGGGATAGGCACGAGGTTGATGCGGTATCAAGACCCTGCATGCATCGTTTGGAAACCACTGCCTAACAGTCAACTGCTCCTATTCCCTGGATTTTCTGGAAGACGTTAGCCACCATGATAATTGCTTGACCCCGGACATGCTGACACTTTACGCTTGAGAATCCGGGCCTGGTGAGCAATACTCAAAGTTCAAGATTGAGGAAGTTAGCTGCAGACTGGCAGTAAAAGCTCCATCCCAAGAGGATGGCAGTTTAATGCGTTCTTTCCTGTAAGGTCAGACAGCTCATCATGAGAATGCACTAAATTCGCCCCCAGAAACATAAATATGACTTTTCATGACTGCTTCACTCTTTACCAGACTCATGCATCAAACATCATTATCTCTAGTCTAATCAACAGCTTCCTCACGCCCCAACCACCATGCCAGACTGCTTCAACACCCCCGGCCCGTACGGCGAGCAGAAGTTCCCAGATTCAACTGAGTCAAGGTCCTGGGCTGCAATTATGTACATGCCGTCCTTTCAGTTCAAGACTACTACTTGTCTAGAGTGACCAAGCCTCCTCCGGAAAGCGCACGGAATTGAGTAAGATATTTGGCACATATTCTATTTTGATATGCCCCGACGAATATCTTATGATCAGAAAAAATAAAGGAAGAAGATTATGCAAGGGCTCGTCAAGTGCAGCTCGTAGTCAAGGGACATTGAGATTGCAATCCTATACTTCAATGGGATCGTAGCTGCAAGTCGACATTGGCTGGGATCAGAGCGGGGAGGCATTGATTTCCACGCAGGAAGACTAAGAATAATGCCATTGCTTCGTTCCAGGCTTTGTTGCTCATTGTTGAATCTAGAGGCCTCAATTGAGATTAACAAGCAGGTTCGTCTCGGTGTATTATCAGGTGCTTGCCCGGGAGGTCATGGGGCATTTTTACCCTTGTTCTTGTTCAAATTGATTGAGAGGTTTAATGGGTTCTCCAATTCCCTGCTACTCTCTCCTTCATTTCTCTATTCTTCCAGTTGACCATCATCGTATATGTACGAAACTTCTCGGGCGTTAAAAAGCAAAGACAAAAAGGAAAGCTTTGAGGGCCGAGCGTGGATCGAACACGCGACCTCGAGATCTGCAATCTCTTGCTCATACCACTGAGCTACCGACCCTTTTGGAGCTTGAAGTGCGTTACCTGTAACGGATTGTATCCTCTAATCAGATGTGTGTATTTTTCGAATGTGTTCCCTGGGTCATCTATCGCTGGTTGTGGTACGGAAGGTTGGCATTACCAGGCTGCCCGCTACATCTACATCGGTACGGGCAGGCTCGGAGAGGTCCCTACCTCGCCTTTGACTGACTGATCTCTGCGGGGGTTATGTCAGTGTCATGCGCTGAGTTGATTCTTTGCGAGGGTTGAGGAGGGAATGAGTGCAGATGACCTGAGGGTGATGTCTGGATTCTTGAGTAGCTGGAAGGGCAATAGTTAGGGTTTGTGGGTATTATAGTTGCTCGCTTCCTGGTGAGAGAGGTGAATTCCAGTTGGGTGTGGTAACTCTCTCCTGTTTTCAATTCTCGTTCTCACCTTTTTTTTTTGGCTCCGGTATATATCCTTCTATACTGGTTAGAATGACCAAGTCTGTCGAGCCTTTGACTTGGAAGAATGGTTTCAGACAACCCTCAGAAGGCGAGCCCTGGAGGTATCCGAAGCCTGAAGGAGAACCGCCCGCCCGGCCCCACTACGTGACGCCTCCTTCTGTTTATATTAGGACCTCGTCTGCACAGAATGTCCTCGGTGAGAGCACCCTTCGCTCGTGGCCGACTATCTTCAACGGCACGAACTCTCCTGCTGGGATACCGGGGTGGTGGAAGCCATCTTGCGAGGTCGATGTGCTCATTGTAGGAGGTATGTAATTGAATCTATTCCAGTCTGGGGTTAGGGGTTGCATTTTCTGATATGCGACTGTGAGAGTAGCGGGACCGACAGGTCTAGAGACTGCGCTTAGCCTTGTTCGCCAAGGTGTCAGGGTTCGCATCCTCGATAGGAATGAGGGGCCTCTGCCCACTGGGCGCGCGGATGCCGTTCTCCCTCGGTATCTGGAGATACTCAATGCGTGGAGCCTCGCAACGGAGGTCAGCGAGGAGGGCCCATCAGTGAGCGGACGGCCATCTGGCGCGATGGAAAGGTGCTCTTCCACGCCCGTACGCATCAGTCGGACTCCCGGCACAGAGGTCTCCATGTTATCACCCAGGGCCAACTGGAGCGGATCTTCGTGCGAGACCTGCTCCGGCATAAGGTGCTGGTCGAGCGCTGCACGACTTTGCAAGCATACGAAGTCTCGGAGGATGAGAACGACCATGAGAGGCCGATCCGGGCGGTCATTTGCAATGATCGGACTGGCGAGACGGAGATCATTCGCGCCAAGTTCCTGGTTGGGAGTGATGGGGCTGCGAGCATGATTCGCAAGAAGCTCAACATCCCGTTCCACGGCGTGAGTACGGACATATACTGGTACATCATGGACGGGAAGTTCGAGTCCGACTACCCCCACGCGTGGATCTTCGGAGGCTACCTCAGCACGGAGCATGGGTGCTGTGTGATTATCCCGCGCGAGGACGGGCATATCCGGCTGTATACGCAGCTGAACCCGACGCTGATCGAGCAGCTCAGCAAAGAGCGGCAGGAACGCTACCCCACCTTTAAGGAAGCCGGAGGCAAAGTTGACGCGAACTCCATCACCCCCGACGAGGTCCTTGAGCAGGCCAACCGCATCTTCGCGCCGTATATCGTCAGGTTCGCTTCGCCGTTGACTTGGTTCGCTATCTGGAAAGTCAGCGAGCGGGTCGCGGAGGCCTTCTCTTCTGAGGATCTGCAAGTCCACCTCGCAGGTGATGCTGCGTGAGTTTGCCCATAGTGAAAGCTTGCATGAGCCCAGCAAGTAAGACTAATCTGGCATGGCAATAGTCACGTCCACAGCGTCTTCGGCGCCTTCGGCCTCAACGCCTCGATCCTTGACGCCGCCAACTTAGCCTGGAAGCTGGCCTGCTGCGCACGCAACCTGTCCCTGATTTCCACCCTCCTCCCGACGTACGATTCCGAGCGACGTCTGCACGCCTCCAACGTCGTCGAGATCTCAGGCAAATACCTCCGCTACTGCTGCAACTCCGACATTCCCGTGCCGCACACCCATTCGCTAGGCAAAGACCTGGGCGCCGAAGCCATCGAACACGCCGTGCGTGGGGAGCCCTACGGTCTGGCAACTCGCACCGACACCTCCCTGCCCAAGCACCTCTACCTAGCAGACTTCTACACACCAAGTACGGCGCCTTCATGCTCGACTAGACGTCGCGTACGGAAAACCCGTACTGTGTTCTTCTCACAGCCCAACAGCAGCCCCGGATTCCGGTCCAGTCGTAGCTGTGGACAACGGTGGTGTCGGATGATCGCGCGCCGGATGAGGATGCTCATACGATGTGGGGAGTGGATCATGGCTCTGGTGCCCTCGTCGTCGTCAGGCCTGATCTCTGGGTTCGGTGTAGTCTGCGGCCGGATCGGGTGGAGGAGTTGGAGGCGTATTTTGGAGGGTTTTTGATTCCGCGGGTGGAGGGAAAGGTAGAGAATCGGAATAGGGAGGCGAGGATGAATGGGTTTGTGAATAATAATGGTGCGGTGCAGTAGAGATTGGGTACAGGGTATGTAGACCGCTCGGCTGGAGTCTTGATTGACTACTTTCTACGTACCATAATCATCACAGAGCATAGGCGATGGGCTACATACTAAAGCCTTTCCTTTGCAGCTAACAATATACTCTCATTCTCCATATCTTCATTCTAGTCCTTTTTGCTTCATCTCTGTGCCGACTTCACTGGATTAGAAGTAACCCCTTTGACCTATGTAGTAGGGTGGTATAAGACTTAGAGAAGTGGCTTACGGAGCTACTTCGGGGTATTTTGTTTTTAGAAAACGCTTTGCATACAGCAGAAATTGGCCGTCAAACTAGACAGAGTGATCTTTGATTCTACCTAAGACAAATCACCTGCCAATATAACTGGAATTACTTGAAAAATGCCTCATTAACGGAGTCTAAGGTGTAATCCCTCGCTAACCCCGAGCACGAGGCTGTTGTCTAACTTTGATACTCAATGATAGAATGCAGCTTACAGCTCGTGCGGGAATACTTCCCCCTTCAACCAATAAGAAGCTATTTAAGACCGAGCCCCCTGTCGCGCCCCACTCGCTGATCCTCGGCTAATCCCGAGCATGTCTTTTTGGATTACCGTACCTTACATACTTGTTTTTGGTATCATGATGTCTTCGGTACAGGCAAGATGGGAGTTGGATGGTTTGGTGATGCTGACTCTTAGGTAGACAGATAGTTGGGATAGAAATCTGAAACTTGGAGTCTCAATATGGGCAACTTGTTGTTCCGGTCTAGGAGTTAGGCATGCCCTTGAGCAAGTAAGGGGTTGGTTAGGTGCAAATATCTGAGGGTCACGTTGAGGCATATGGCAGTGATTTCACGGTTGTCTAGGATGTATTATGAGTGCTATATAGAGGACAACTCTGGTTCTGGAGGTCGAACATTCTTTGGGCATTGAAAAGAGCAATTGAGTATTCTTATGCCGGCGAGGCATAGTTGACTCGGGCAAGTTATCTAGGAATTCGGTGACCGTAGCTATGGATCAGTAGATTGAGCCTTTCTCATGAGGTGCACTAGTGTCTTCTATGTTCCTGTATATTGCTCCTGAATGTCGCTCAAGTTCGAGCCTGTAACGTAGCCCCCCCCATCGATTATCCATCCAACGCCTGTAATATAGCTCGCTCCCGGGCTGCTCAAGAACATGACCGCCTCTGAGACTTCCTCTGGAAGAGCCAACCTTCCCAGGGGAATAACCTTTAACACTTCCTCCTTCAAAGAAGGACTGCCCTCAAGAGCTCGATCCATCATCGGCCCTTGCACCCACGACGGACAGACTGCATTGACTCGTATGCCGTGGACTGCGTTGTCCAACGCTATAGTGATGATTTGCATGTTAGTCGAGCTCATACAGCGCACATAGGCTACTCACCTGCATTCTTCGTGATCCCCATCACCGCATGCTTCGCAGTGGTATACTGGGTAATCCCTCGAGTCGGGATGTAGGAATTACAAGATCCCAAATTGATGATACAACCGCGACCGATAACGTAATCGTCAACCGAGCGAGCCACGCAAGCGAGCGAGCCACCCCCCTGAATCCTCCCACCTCCGAGAAACGAAGCAATTCAACCATCAA